AAAATCTCAAAGGAACCCGCGGCGAATTACACTTCCTGGTTCTGACGTCATAGTTCCCCCACTCTATTTCAGATCTATTAATGCACTTAATACTTACATTTCATGTCCTGAAGAACAGTTCTCCTCACACACGTACACTGGGGGAGAGCATGTTGTCATCATGTAAAAAAAATTAAAATAAACATGTTAAACAAGCAGGCCAACTTTATTTTATATACAATGAAGACAGTGATGGAGGTAGTTAGTGTTTGTGAATTTGCACTCACCTGAAGATCAAACATTTAGAATGTCATGCAACATCTGTGAAATCTTGCTGGTCTGTGCCACTTTCTCTGATATGGTGAAACTCATCACAAACCTAGAAAACCACAAACACGCACAAGTAAGTGTATAACCAACAATGGATGTAGAAAAGAGAAAGCAGAGTCTGTGTCCTGTTATGTGAGGACACATCACACAACTTGCTTTTCAACTGAATAGAAGTTACCTTAAGTGTTGAGGCTCACTCTTTTGTATTCATCATCCAGCTCAGCCTGCAATTAAATAAAGTTTGTAAAGGTTTACTACAAGTTTGTAAATTGCTTTTGTAAATTTAATATATTGCTAAATTCATGTCTGTGTATTAGCTTTAACCTAATTTTGGATTAATACTCTTAGCAGCTAACGTTAGGCTCAAAACTGTTGAGCCACACAAAAATAAAGTAGTACTGTTCGGGTTTACAGTGTTCATTTTACCATACGACTATAAATTACAGAGTATTAAGTAGAGGTCGACCGATTGATCGGCCGGCCGATTTTTTAATTAATTGGCATTTGGCCAATTGTGCTGCAAATTAGGCCGATTTATAGGCAGGTGCACCTTCGGGCAGCTAAGCGTTGCTGTGGAACTCCCTCTGAGGCTGCTTGAGACAGAGCAGCTCACTCTGCAGCCGCGGCTTGTTCACACACCGCTTCAGCTAATGGCAGGGCAAAACAGACCGTTTCGAAAGCGGAATTACGTTTTACCCTACTAGAATTGATGCCGGAAAGTTATCATATTCATAAGTACAACAAGTCATTTGCATTTGAAAGTAGAAACACGTTCAATTCAGATGAAACTTCTGGGCTGATTATAATGTGCACCTGAACTTTCCTCGTGAAATGTGTGTGTAGTTCCGACAATAGCATCCACGATGTCATCGCTCGTGGCCAGCGCACTCTTAAGCAGTTCTGAGCAGCAGGCTGTGTAATATGTGTGAAATCTTTTATTTTTGTTATCACTATGGCCATTTGATTTATAGCAGTGTCCAGTGTTTCCTATACAAACTGACTTTTGATAAGGCTTATACTTCGTTTTTGAAAAGGCTTATACTTCGTTGAATAAAATGAGCGCTTCACGTTTCAAAATTAAAATGCAGGCATCATATATTGGCCATCGGCTGCCCTGATTTCTAAATATCGGCATCGGCCAGTGAAAAACCCATATCGGTTGACCTCTAGTATTAGGTTATTTCCCCTCGATGGGGAAAATATCCAAGTGAACATCAATCAGTACTCAATATTAATTTAAACTGCATATTTAAACAGATTTAAATATGACTGCTGCTTATTTCCTGTGCACTTCAGTACTGGTCTGCGCTTGACTGTAATCGCGTCTGTCTGCTTATTGAGTTTTAACCCATCGCAATTGTGTGAACTAGAGTGACTACTCACCTTAAAGGGGTCATATGATGCTGCTAAAAATAACATTATTTTGTGTATTTGGTGTAATGAAATGTGTTTATGCGGTTTAAGGTTAAAAAAAAAACATTATTTTCCACATACTGTACATTATTGTTTCTCCTCTATGCCCCGCCTTTCTGATGGTGAGAAACAAGCCGAAATGGCAAGTTATTATATTTTATGAAAATCTTGCGTTGCAGTCCTGTGTGCGTGCAGCAGCTTATGCTGCACATCTAACAGTAGGCAATTTAATATCTGTTGTTCTCCAGTTGTCAGTCAGAATGACAGTTCTTGCATGAACCTTATAGGCCTGTATATACACAAGCCAATTTATTATTCTTTCCTTTTTGTCTTAGTGTTTAAAATATTTATTTTGAAACGAATTAATTAATTACTTAATTAAACAAACAGACTTACTGGGTGAGCAGGGTTGGCTATGACAGCCATCATATCACACCCTGCCATGCCCAGCTGATGCAAAGAATAGAATTTATATCTACACAGAAGAAAGCCCTGTCTAGACTCTCTCTCAGTATGAGTTGTGTCGAGCTATTCATTAGCCTGTTTGTTTGATGAAAACACAGAAGAAAGCCCTGTCTAGACTCTGTCCCGGTATGAGTTGTGTCGAGCTATTCATTAGTCTGTTTGTTTGATGAAAAAAGATGAAATGTAGTTGCAATAAATGCGTTAAGAATCCGTACAACTGCAGCAGCTGAGGACTATTTTTCAGCCACGCGAATCTGCGGAAGAACTGATGACGGCACGGTTTGATCTTCGGCTGCCCAATCAGCAGAAAGGGGCGTTTAATTCCCGCCAACGTGTAGAAATCGAATGTTCAAGCTGTTTATTCATTTTTCTACCCCTGAACGAAAAACAAAAATTTAAGCTGAATTCTCGTTTTTCGTTTTTTGTAAATAAAAATTTTTGAAAAAGGAGCCGTTTTCTCATTTTTCTACTTAAATCAAAAAATCAAATCAAAAAACGAATGATCGAATGATACACGGATTATTAAGCAGTGGGGCAGAATTCATTTTGGCAAATGCGTGCGTTAAGACGGTTTCTGACACTTGCTCGTACAGCGCCTGACTAAACTAAGAGTTATTTTTCGCGCCTTGTGTTTAAGATCTTCGGCTGCCCAATCAGCAGAAAGGGGCGTTTAATTCCCGCCAACGTGTAGAAATCGAATGTTCAAGCTGTTTATTCATTTTTCTACCCCTGAACGAAAAACAAAAATTTAAGCTGAATTCTCGTTTTTCGTTTTTTGTAAATAAAAATTTTTGAAAAAGGAGCCGTTTTCTCATTTTTCTACTTTCAATATTAAATCGAATGAACGAATGATACACGGATTCTAAACCAACATTTCTGTATTCATTCCTTGTACGTTTTTTCATTTTACATTTTGAGAAATGGATTAAACTGTGGATGAATAGAGTATGCTATTTCTCAGCATGTAATGAGTCATTCATGAATACCGTTGAAATACCGATTTTGTGAATTTTGGACATTGTTTCACTTGTCTTTCAGGTGCTGAGTAGGTTGACCAGTAGTCATCATGGCGTCTTCCTCGGTGAAGGTGGCGGTGCGTGTGCGGCCTTTCAACAGCCGAGAGATGAACCGAGGAGCTAAGTGTGTGATCCAGATGCAGGACAAGAGCACATGTGAGTGCAACACACACAGTGATGTGTTTTTCTTTCATTTTATATCTTCATTTTTCTGTCTACGCTGTGCGTAGATACACTGCCTTATCTTTGTTTATAGAAAGAACATTCCTTTTATGTGAACACATGGATTCCAGACATTTCTCTGTAGTCTATGGAGGTGGTTGAATTTTGGAGTCAAAGTTATACAGAGTTTTGGTAACTCTAAAGCAGGGGTGTCAAACTCAGTTCCTGGAGGGCCGGAGCACTGCAGAGTTTAGATTCAACCCTAATTAAACACACCTGATCCAGATAATCATGTCCTTCAGACTTATTTGAAAACTACAGGGTTTGTGTGTTGGAGCAGGGTTGGAGCTAAACTGTGCAGGACTGCGGCCCTCCAGGAACTGAGTTTGACACCTGTGCTCTAAAGTAAACATGCATCAGCCTGTTTTGAAATGAACGTTTTGCTCCATAAGTAGACCTGCGCACAATTTGTTGCCACAAGTCTGCCAAATTATCATCATATTTCCACAGGATTTGTACAGTCATTATTCATTGATTTCCTATTTACCTGCCCTTTCCACAGAGCTTGGCACATGTGCTCCTACGTTTAAAAAATGTAGGAACGCATTAAGAAAAAATTAGTGGTGGAGTGGAAATGTATCAAATAATGTGTTTTTTTTTTCTTAATAAAAGAATACCAGGAGACATTTACAAGCAATATGATTTGTATGTTTGATGATATGTAAATGTATGCTTCAAACTGTATATAATAATTATGTAAATATTTATAGGCCTACTTTAAACTGTGTATATGTACACACGCGCACACACACACACAGTTTAAAGTAGGCCTATACATTTTAAATATAGTATAAATGTAGTAAAATCTCTAGACTAAATAATACACATTCAATAATTATTTCCTAGTCTTTCCTTCCTGTGACGGCCCAGACAGATGCTACCAAGTTTTATGGTAAATTAAAATGCCAGATACAGTTCATTTTGTAACCAAAATCTCAATAATAACAAAAAAATTAATCTCATCCAAAATAAAAGTTTTTATGTACATAATATATGTGTGTGTACTGTGTATATTTATTATGTATATATAAATACACACACATGCATGTATATATTTAAGAAAAATACGATGTTTATATATATTAAATATATTTATATGTAATATAAATTATATGAATATAATTATATACATGTAAATATTTTCTAAATATATACTGTACGTGTGTCTTTATATATACATAATAAATATATACAGTACACACACATATATTATGTACACAAAAACTTTTATTTTGGATGCGATTAATCGCGATTAATCGTTGCCCAGCACTAATTATAAACAAACCTGAAATACACTGGGACTCTAATTTTGAAATATCCATGCTTTACTATTGCAGGCTGCTCATTCAAAAAGGGAGATAAATAATGGACTCTGACAACCATTTACAACATTACAATGCAAACATCATAAAGTAAACATTGTCATAAGTAAATCAAAAGCAGTCTATTAGCATAAATGCATGATACTTATTGATTGCAGTCTGCTCTGAAAGCACAGGCCTGTGGAACATAAAATAGTGCTGTGTTTCTAATTTTGAAATGTGCATTACTCATATTTATTCAATGAAATCATGGCCTTTTGAAGTTTAATAATCACATCAGGCCATATCGTGATTCCAGTTTTTCCATCCCCGAATTTAAGACCTTTTAAAATGATGATCATTAAGATGCTTCTTACAACATTTAAGATATTTAATATTTTAATGACCTTGAATTTTGCATTTGTGCTTCTAAGTACAATTACAATAATTCTACGTACATTAAATACAAATTCTAAATAAATTGCAAATGCAAGTGAAAAGCTCATACTATCAAACCCTGTACTTAACCAATAGCTACTTGTTAATAACTAAGTATTTTGTAAATTATTTTGCAGCCAAATATTTTATTACATATTACATGATGAAATATTAATTTGATAATTTTTTCATGTCTTAAAAAAAAAAAAGAGTATAGTATTTGTAGCACTTTTTAACACCTTTTACGATATTTAAATCTATTTCACAGTCTATTGCACGCCAGTCGAGCGTGATTTAATTAGTACAATCAACTCCAAATATCTAAAGATCCTGGAGAAATCGAGTTCTCGTGATATGACCCTGTTAAAACTCGTTCCACACTTTTAGTAGTTACTCCTCATGAACTTTTCCATGGTAGTATCCAAAAATACTTGTCTCCACCCACACGTTGAAAGAGGGGGAATTTCTGAGAGTTTGGAACCACAGTCCTAAACCACTGTAAAATCGTGTTGTTTGCAGTACTGGCTGCCAGACCTCACATTCCCGTCTTCCTCTACGAAGCGTTTCCACCCCACTCTCTCTTCAACTGCAAACTGCAGCGCCGCCACTGCGTTTGCCTCACCGCCCCCCCCCTCGCGCTCTCTCTCTCTCTCTCTCTCTCTCGCTCGCACACACACACACACACACACACACACACACGATGCGCAA